CTTATCGAAACGGCCAGCGTCTGATAAACCGAGCGCCCTAAAAGTCCTTGATTTTTCAGGCAAAAGGGCCTCGGAGGGCCAATTTCTCCCCAAGAAAGAATTTGTAAACAACAACTCCCGCAAGCTCCAAGGAGCTAGCTTTCGTGATCTTACCTGTCTCTGTCTCTCTTCTTCCAGGGCCCCAATTTGTCGTAGCAGTGTCTATTTTCCAAAAGGACGGGGATTTAGGACTATTGAGGGGTAGTTTATTATTGTGCAGGCGAGTTTATCTCAATTAAGGGGACCTTTCCAATATTGTGTACAGGCCGAGTTTAGCTCAATAGAGGGGACCGTTACTAATCACGAGCTCACATTAGCCACCGCTGCGCAGCCATTGTACAGAGCTCCAACATGTGCCCATCGCCGATGTATCTTCGTGCATACCCCGCACAAAGAATGCTCCTTCCCGACTTCCCGAGATATGTAAGTCAAAGACACGTGACATGACACATTCCGTCTTTAAAGGTTCCAAATCTCAATGAACTCAACAGAAGGCTCAGAGGCTCGACAGTCCCAAGCAGCGCTGGGCACTAATGCTTTCGGATCATGGGCAAAGCACTGTCGACTTTGCAAGTAGGTTTCGTCCCAGGGGCCCACCCCTGCAGCTGCGAATGCTGCCAGGTCCATGGCTGCAGACTGCGCCTCTGCAGGGCACACGCAGGAATGGAGAGCCTGTAGGCTCGTGCCACATTTTCCATCCACTTCTGGCGAGCAGCAGCCAAACGCTCGCTGCAATGGCTCCACATCCCCCGGCCTTTGCGTTGAAGACTGTGTTTCGGCAGCCCATGTCTGCAAGGACCTGCCCCAGCAGTGCATCATTGGAAGCAATCTGCCACCTGGGTCTTTCTGGCCTTGTGGTCCTTGCCATTGGAGTCCCGCAAATGCAGCGAGGATCGCTCACAAGGATGGCCGCAGTCTGTGAAGTCGTTCCTCTGGCGAGCCCTCTCTCTCTCTCTGTCTCCCTCCTTCCGCTTTCTGGGAAATTCTACTTTTGGAAAACTTCAGGCTTCGGAATACTGGAAGAAGAAAAATCAGCACAACTTGAGTCTCAAAGCCAACTCCCTACAAGGCTCCCCTTGCTCAGGAAGCGCGCAAAAACGCAGTGCTCCGTGTGAAAGATGGGCAGGTGCTGATGAGCTACGACCTCTGTCGCGGCTTGCGATCGGCTTCGCAAGGGAACAAGCAGTTTGGCATGCTCACTTCTCGAAGTCTCAAGGAGCAACTCATAACGCTCGACGAAAAGGTACACCCTGCTAGGACAACTGCGACAGGCACGGCACAACTGCTCGAGATGGTGTAATTGCCTTGCCCCAACCTCGATCAACATGATTCGGTGCCTAACCTTCATGGCTGCCAACAGTAAGAGACCAAGCTTTCAACCCCGCTGTCGGGACAACTTTGTGCCCGCAGCCTCCAAGCGGGCAGCTCTGTCTGGGCCCAGGCGTTTGGCCATCCTTGGCTGTAGTCCGAAACAGGATGACGTGTGTCTGCGTCTCCCTGCTACTTGTCTCTCCGTCCGTCTGCAGATCACGTGCGTTTTCTGCCTGCCCGCACTTGAAAGGCGCGAAGTTCTACAGACTGGAGATGCACAGGCAGACCAGCATCTGTCGTCCCCTTGTCCGAGGAAGTACCAAGGTGAACTCATAACTAATAATAGGGTAGGGAGGTGGAACTCAAATCTGCAACTTCCAGCAGTTGGTAGCGCCAGAGGGCAGAGGTCAAGCGTCAGGCTAACTTACGCAACTTTGCTGACTGCCGTGCATCATGTGCTATGCGTGTCCCACGTTTGCAAGCGCATGGGCACAGTGGCGCCCATTGTGCTGCTCACGCGGACAGGTATTGTGACCTTCCGGCAATGGTTTGCTTTTTTGCCTCCCGCCATCTTTTGCTTTGGAACAGGTGCTTTGCTTGTTGCTTACCTTACATCTGATATCGGATGTTCTTCTTTGTTGCAACCTTCTGTCTCTTCGAAATTACAAACATGTAATTAAAACAGATTCTGTTGCATAGCACAAGGCATTCGTCTGCTTCCGTGTGTCATTCTACTGCGTTGGATTGCTGACTGGCGGCCGGCAAATTGTGATCATCTGCGGGGTCCACGGGAAGTCATTCACCGTGGAAGTCTGTAATTGTGGTGGGGCTCGCGCCATCTCGCGCCAAGCAAAGTGCAAGGCCCTGTGCTTTGTCATTACTTTAAGGGGTACCGTCTCGACCTTTCTCTGGCGCTCCCCCTGCTTTTCTTGTTGCTACTATGTACTGTCATCTCGATCCTAAACAGATGACACCTCGTTCTCTCGTGATGCATCTATTAGACTGCTGACGCACTATCTTTTGCTACACCTTACTGATCGAGTACGATATTGGCTGGAATATCTGTGACAGGCCCAGAATCTGGCAAATCTGCATAGCACTGAGGTCGTGCGTCGGTGTGAGGCGCTCCAATCCTGCGTCGTCGTGGCTTCGAGATGGACTCTGAGTTGTGCAGCTACGGTGCTTACAGGGAATGTATGCAGCTCACAGTATGCTGACAGCTGTCTGCTGTTGCCAAGCTGTCATCCAGGCATGACTTCGTTCGGACAGCGGTTAGCTATGCCTGGCAAGCCCAAGTAGAAGCCGGCAGTCACGGCGTTGGCAGCGTTCCTGAGCTCTGGGCCAACTGAATCTTCTAACTAGAAGGCTCTGTTGGGGGTGGCTCTGTAAGTCTGGGTTGGCACATCTCAGATACTCTGTTACCACGTCCCCAGCCGGGTCAGTTATTGCCAGAGAGATTTTTCGTTGCAAGAAGACGCCAGAAGCTGAAGGTGAAGCTGCGCCCCACGTTCGCTGAAGCCCCCAACCTGCGATTTGACGCTCCCATTGCTTGCACAGTGTTGACAAGAGTCAGACTGAAGTCACCGACGACGTCGGGGCCATCGTAGCGGTGGCCTCCCCGAAGAGCTGATGAATATGCCGTCGCAACAAGACATGGGTCTCAACTGTGCAGCCAATCATTGCTGCAGAACAACCAACAAGACACATTCAAAAACCCTAACGAGATCAAGTCAAACCATGTGACCACAAGCAACTCACCCCCCCATTTCACAAAGCCTGACGTTGGCAGCATTTCATCGTGACATGAGGCCTCAACAACAAGGGCACCTTGCTTCGTCATCTGCATTATCTGCGCCCTGCCACGTCGATGAACTGTGAACGGCTGCAGATTCCCGGCCTTCCCCTTGGTCTCCCAAGCCCAGCAGTTGGTACAAAGCTCCGCTGCCCCGCACTATCAAAGCATCTGTTTCCAGGCGGCGGTAGAACCTTTGCAAGGCCAGGTGCTGCTTCCTGTCCCGCCACTTCAATTAAGACAAGCCCCACCCTGTTTCAACGATTCTGAAACCCGAATTGTGGATCTGACGAAGGCCGCTACGTTGACTAGATGCTTTCTTTAAATCTGAAGTATGGGGGCTCCACGAGAAGGGATCAAGGAGCTTGGAGCAGTTCGGGTCCTGACACCGTAAGCTACTCAGTCACATCAGTAGAGCTCCTGGTCCTAGTGGCAAACGAAATGCCAATGAGCCCCTGATGAGGCTCTTGAGTCCCCGAGCCTTTGACTTTCGGGCAGAAGCGAGGTGACTATTGAGCTGCGGCTGCGCAGCTGCCAAAGGCGGTCCTCGTTCGGCTTGATGATGCGCGGCAGGCAAACGGCGACACGCTGCAATGCAGCGCGTGCAGCTGCAACACTTTCCTTGGAGTGACATTCGCTTGCCGAGCTCGAGCTGTGAAGCATATGCCACTCTAAGACAGATAGACTGCATTCGTGGCACCCAAAACCTCAAAAAGGTTGAACTACCCGCTGACGACGTGCCTGCAGGCCGTTGACCTCCAGAAAATCCAGTTGCAACTCGTAGACCAAGCCCCTGGGTAGTGCCAGTACAGCAGCTGCTTGTTCTGGGCTGCGGCACAGGACCGTCAAGCGAGGTACAGGCAGCTCGGACTGCATGAACGATGTCGTCTTCTGCTGCTCCAATGGTGGCAGCGGAGGAGAAACCAACGAATTCAATATCTCCGCCGCCTGTGCAGAGCCAGGCTTCAGTGTCTGCGTCCGAGCGGAGAGTCGCGGAGGAGGTGCCTCTCTGACAGGCAGGTGTGAAAGCTTGATCATCCTCGCACGCTCCTCCAATGCTTCGTCCTTGTTTCGCCAAACGTAATCTCCAGGCTTCACCTCCGAGCCTAACCGCTTTAAGCGTTCCCGTGCTGTCTCACCAAAAAACTCCAGCCGCACGAAGACAATTGTTCCTTTTTCCAAGCCCGCACTGGATTCCACTACTCCAGCCTTGGGCAGCCTCAGCTTCGAGATCTTCGCTCCCAGGACATCATCGCCGAACTCGCCGGTGTCGAAGAAAATCCCAGCTCCGGGTCTCAAGGGGACAGAGATGGCACCCGGAGCCAACTCGAGAGCGAAGGACTTGGTCTTTGCCTGAACCGCTCGGACGCGGCCTACGAGAACGCCTCGGTGCTTGGGTGCCAGTCCCCTTACAAGGCGCTGGTGTTTGGGCCCCTCCAAAAATCCAGGAGAGAGGCCGTCGTTCTCGGAGTCCTGGCCACGGGCGAAGACCTGCGCCAAGGAAGCGCGGGTGACTTCGGGTGTCTCCAGCAGCTCGGCTCCGGGGCCTTCCAGCCTCGGAGCGTCGCATGCGTCAGGCTCCCAAGCACGATCGATAGCCTGACGATATGCCGCTGTAGTAAGGGCCACATACTCTTCCCCCTTTAGTCTGCCCTCGATCTTGAAACAGCTTGCCCCTGCTTCGATCAAAGCCGGTACGTACTCCAATGCCATCAGATCCTGTGGGGAGAGCAGGTATCGAGTAGCATCACCCAAATCCACAAGTTCGCCGTCCTTGATCAACCCATATGGCAGCCGGCAGGCCTGGGCACATTGCCCACGGTTGGCCGAACGCCCGCCCCAAGCTTCCGATGAGAAGCATTGCCCACTGTAGGATACGCACAAAGCCCCGTGGACAAACACCTGGTTCATTGATATCTCTTAACCCGGAACTGTCGGCAATGTTGCTTAGAGGGAGGCGGGGCTTTTACACATGCAAGCTGCTCGAGACTCGTTGCCTCAATCTCCACATTGGCGGCATCTCGAGAAACGCCTGCGATCTCGTCGAGACTCAGTTCACGCCCCAGCACGACACGCTCGGTGCCCAGCAGTTCACGAGCAAACCTCGCTCAAACGATCTGCACTGCACTCAGCTGTCAAGCTTCAAGCTGTAATAAGAGTAGTAGACGTATCTGGCTCGAGCTTTCCTACAACTTCTGACCCAAAAGCTATCCAACTACTGCAAAAAATATCTGGTCTGAGTAGCAATGCTCCCGGTGCAGACGTGATTGACATCTGTGTTGAGGCATGTACTGGAACGTGAGGACATATCTCTCGACAGGCCAATGCCAGGCCAACATCTTGTACAATGAGTGCATCGACGTTTGCATCCCCCACCACCTGAAGCGCTTGGATGGCTGTGCCGCTGCCTGGACGACCTGAATCTGCAGAGTCGAAGAGCTCATGGTCGAAAACGAGCACGTTTAGTGTGACATAGGCCTTCACCCCATGGGAATGAAGGAAGTGCATTACTTCTGTCAGTTCGTCAGCGGTGAAGTTTGCAGCTCGTGCACGCGCATTGAGGCCCACGTCCAAGCCGAAGTAGACAGCATCGGCGCCAGCACGGACGGCCGCACGCAATTGAGGCCATCCGCCGGCTGGGGCAAGCACCTCGGGTTTCTGCCGTGCCGCTGCACGTGGTGCTTCTCCTGCTATCTCTGAGTCGGCTTCCAGCTCCCGGTAAAGCTCAGAGTTTTTGCGCCGCTTCCACGTGCCGGTCTTGCTCCTCACAGCTCGGGTCGAAACCCGAACATTTCTTTGTCTCAGCAGGGCGAGTGCGGAAAGCAGGGTCAAACCACACCTGCGCCGATTGTGTCCTGCACAATTTGCAGCCTCTGCATCCAGCAAAGACCGGATGGGGTCAGTTTGGCACCTCGGGTACGAAAGCGGGTGGCCGAAAGCGCGATCTCGATTGCCGATCAGTTGACGGGAAAGCATGGCGCTGAGCAGTCGATGGGCAGCTAGCGTCCAAAGGTCCCGAACCGGGCTACTGTTGCATTTGCATGAGATTCAGCGTGCCAAGTCAATGTTTGTCACACTTCCGAAGTCAGTTTAGTAGAATTTGTGCTCTTATGCTTGAAGGAGAAGACATGACATGCATTGACGGGACTTGGCTCGCCGGATTCTGATACTTTCGCTTGAACCCTGCTTGCCGGAATCAAGCCGCAGCCTCTTCGCAGCCCCGAGCCGACAATGCGACGGCGTAGCTGTTGTTTCAGCCGACTTTGATGGAGGCTCATTGGAAGATTGAGTCAGCTCAGTCACTGAGCATGATTTTGTCGATGCAGTCCGACATGCGACTTGATCTGCAAGCTCGGTGTCTTAGCAACTTCGGGGTAGGGTGCTGCGACCTGTCATCAGTTTCGCGGAGGCTGTCCTTGTCCTCCTCCAGCTTCGACAGAGTGTCCTGCCACGGGCTAAGCCGAATTCTCCAGAACCCTCCACGACAACGGGTCGACAGTCTCGGTAAGTGTTGCATCCAGGTTCCTTGAACACATGCACTGCCTACCTAGCAGACCTAGCATCTGGCATTCTGGCTTCGCTGACACAGCCGAGGGCCTGCAAGGACTTGAGCGATGACTCCGCCTGGCCGAAACGTCTCAGCTTGGCCCCAGACAAACTCGGGCTCCTCCCCCTCTGAACGCCCGACTGAGACTGAGCCTGAATCCGGGTTTGTGCGATGTTGACTCCAGCCTGGCATAGGGCGATAGGGTACCGAAGTCTCTGCTGTAGAGTCTGAGAAGTCCCGAGGTTAAATCTCGACAGACGTCGTGGGGCAAGGTGGTGTTAGTGCGAGACACAGCCAACCACACCCAACCCCAGATTCCCCTTTTGAACTTCAACCCGGTGGCAACACACTCGCCAAGCGACGCGCGACGGTCTTCGTCGCGAGTCAGCCCTGAGCGCCCACATCTACAGATGAACCGGTGAAATGCCGTTGCTCATGTCATCAGCTTGCAACACTTTCTGGGCATGTACAGCACTCGCTGAGTATGTGCCTCCAGCAAGGCAGAGCTACATAGTATAGCACTTCTCTGGTAAAGTTGCTAGGCTGCTAGACACCTGGACTGCGCTGCCTGGGACCATGGTAGGCACCTTTTGGGATCTGTGCCTTCACGCTTCTGTCACAAAAAAACCGCTGAGAAGGTGGCTTAGGCGACTGGCTGCCCCGTGCGCACTGCCCGCTGATGCTCAAAGAACGAGCCTGCTGCGCCTCTGCAGTTCTCAAAATCGTGCAAGCGTCTTGCCAGCTCGGAGAGAAGTCTTTGTGCATTGCGAACAATCTTCGGCCCCGATTGGGCATTGCAAAAACGAGGACCGTAAATTCAGAACATTCTGCAGCAGCCCGGAACTCCACACTTCACCTCACATGCCTTTCAGGAAAGTAAAGACTACTGCTCAAACGAACAAAGAAGATCAAAGAACCCTGAGGCCTGATCCGCGAGCCCGACTTTGCAGCTTTGGTTTGACGATTCATTCTTATTTCATAGGTTACAGTGATGGAAACAAGATGCGGAACAATATAAGTATGTGCAGACATGTCTTACATGGCCCCGTTGGAGTTTTCCCCGAATCGTACGCTTGCTGCAAAACGCAAGCAACTAATCAGCCTGCGAGCCGCGCAAGCTTCTTGAAAGAACAGCATGATATCAAGTCACATGTGACATGTGTGAATCCTCTAGAACCCCCATGCTCTTGTGGTCCGTGCAAGCTTGCTTCCAAGAGCGGCATTCCATCAAGAGACACGCCGTCAATCCTTTCAGAACCCTTCATTCATCCATCATCTTTGCACCCCGCTGGTGCTTGAACCCCAGACCCCAGAACACCACCTCCTTGACACTGGTTTTGCTCAGTTGTCTTCAGAATCCGCTGGACCGTTTTCAGCATCGGCTGGTGTAGTTTTCTGTCCCTTTTCTGGAAGCACTGCGCTGTTTGCGGAGCCCTGCTTTGCTCAAGCCAGCTTCCTACGCCAAATCGGGAACGACAGAGCAGGCCATGTCAAAAAGTCGGAAGTCTTCACCCCGTGCAGCGAAGCCTTCGCCGCATCGGCCCCCCTCGGCGTGCCCACAAACCCAAGCATCGGCATGGTAGATTCACTTTCGAATCTAAAGCATCCGACTCTGGCTGTCTTAAGTAGCTGGCATAAACAAACGGTCAAGAAGCTTGCGCCAAGTGCGCTTGCTGCGTTTTTCTCATACTTTCCGGCTGAGGGGGATGGGGCAGAATCTGCTCATGCTTTATCGGATGCCGGCCCAGCCGTCCGCAGCTTTCGGAGTTCTGCAAGGCTTACGGTTTCGGGGTCTGGGACGTACCGGATGCCCGCAACCCCTGCGACCAAGGGGCGCAGCACGACCTTTCAAGGTTTCAAAGGTGGTCCTGCCACGGAGAGAAACTTTCCGTGGGGTCTGTACATTGGCACAGCTACGGATTAAGATGACAGCAGAGGGTGGTGCCTAACAACTCTCCAGCTGAGACGGCCTGGAGGCCTATATGATCAACAAAAAGCAGATGCACTCAACGCCCTTCTGCTCAAGGGAGCCCAAAGCAAGCCAGGAAACTCTGAAACTCTGTAAGTCGTTGCAGTAGCTGCTGTGAAGACAATGATGTTGAACCCTTTTAAGAAGCACTTTGGAGGCCTTTCGGACGACCTCTGCCGGTCTTGCTTGCCATCGCCAGCAGTAGAAATGTGACTCGGCAGTGGGCGGTGGATGCATAACACTGACGAAGTGACAATGTAGGTCTTGCACTCATCCCATCGTCAAGATGGAAGAACATGTGAAGAGTAGCTTCTTATGCGGATCAGGCGGCATTTGCGACGCTCGGAACTGGAAACTCGAAATACTGCAGCTCTGCCAGTACGTTCAGCTGAAACTCCAAACTCCAACTTGTTGGGGTTCCATCTAGTTCCGTCAAGGGTACATCTGGCGCGGGCCTCAAGCTTGTGGAGTGCTGCGTATGGTTGTGGGGCACACTCCACCAGAGAAGAGACAGCGACAAAGAGAGAGAGAGAGAGAGAGAGAGCGAGCGAGAGAGAGGGAGGGACAGAGAGTGAACGAGATCTGCACTTCGATCACAGCCTCAAATCACGTAGCACCGGCAAGTCGCTCGAACACAAGGTGACCAAAAGTCCTTCTCTCCTCCCGTTCTGTCACATTGAGTGCCGGACCTACCCTGAAGACCCTGATGTGACCTCGCAGCAAAAGGCGCGGGAGGGAGCAGTGCTGTTTTAAGGTACCGAGGCTAGCAAAGCACATTCTCATGTTGGGCTCCAGACTGGAAACTATGAGCATTCGGCCCATTTCCCTGCAGCTTGGGCTGGCTTGGCCGCCTCCGAACAGTGCGGTTTGGAATGTCTTCCGAGCTCAGGTCCAACTACTTCGAGGTTTGTGGTTCAGGCTATTTGCTCTGGATCCACCCATGTCGCGATCAATGTGATTCTGCACTCGCCAGTGAATGGGCCACGGCCGAGACCTGATTGGGAATCACTTCTCGCATCTGTGTATAGTTTGAACGAGGCGGTACTTACAGCTAGCTGCAGCTAGCTGATTTGCTCTCACGAGAGAGCCTTCGAACAACTACACATGACTTGTTACGTCTACGACCGTCTGTGAAGCTGTGGGGATGCAGGCTGTTGATGCGGACCAGTCTATGTTGCTGCATTCGAGTCCGCTGCCCCTTGCAATCCCAGACTGAACATGTTGATCCCGATCCGGTGCTGATCACAGGCAGCGCACCTGTACGGTAATCTGTTAAAGTGGCTCCCAATGCGAATGCTTCTGAAGGACGCACGTGATACTTTTCATGTGCGGTATAACTCTCCATCGACGGAACCAAAACTTGCGACCAGAACAGATGCTCCAGCCTTCCAGATATCCGGCTGCCAGTAAATTGACCAACATTCAGATCCCTGACAGTTCGAGAGCTGGTGGGTGCTTTTGAGTTTTTCGCCTTTTGCATACTGCAGGATGGTAGGGCTTGCTAGGAACGATAGGGTCTTGGCGAAGCCATTGTCTTATCTATCTGCATATTTTTTCACATGCATCTGCAGCTGGTCGCTTAATCGACCGGCCGAGGAGGTGTGGCAAGTCTAAAGCCCTTGACAAACCATCGGTGATGTCTGAGTTTGCCACACGTTTTGCAAAGGCGGCGTCCTCAGTGTAACGCTTGATGCTTTTACGGTTCGCTGGCGATGGATGCCACAGAGGTCGATAGCATTGCTTCAACAGCTACGTAGTGCCGGGACAAAATGCGGAAAATGCTGAGGAGCAGGGGTAAAGACCCAGAGGACGTCGATGCATTATAGGCTAATGGCAAATGTCATGTCTGTGCAGCAGAGTAGCACCGTTCGCACTCCCAGAGTTTGGCCATCAGCTTTGGACGGCCGTCTGCCAGTGGAGAGGGATCGCGCCCTGCTTCAAACGAGGCAGAGCTAGCTTGAGATTGCCATTGCAAGGTTCTCACTCTTAGGCTTGACAGGCATTAGGCTTTGTGTAGGCGAGCATCGGGAGAGACCATGTGATACGGATTGCTGCATGTCATTCCCGATTCGAATCAGCTCAGTCTTTCCTCCTCGCGCTCGTTCAATTGCAAAACACAGAGGACAGGTGCTCCGTCAAAGCCCCCTTCTCCCAAATGCAAGCTTTCTCGTCCTGATCCTTGGTATACTGGGCGGGTGTGTATGTGTGTGTGTCCCGCCTAGAGTTGGACCTTCCCTCTCCGCGCCCTCCGGGAACGAAGTCTGCCACCTCTCAGGTTCTATGAAAGGCTTCGAAAACAACGTAGCCATCATGCGCAGGCCGACGCTGTTGTCGAGAAGAAGACACAGGTAGTGGTAGTAGTAGTAGTAGTAGTAGTAGAAGTAGAAGTAGAAGTAGGAGTAGTAGTCGTAGTCGTAGTCGTAGTCGTAGTCGTAGTAGTAGTAGCAGTAGCAGTAGCCG